TGGAGGGAAGAAGAAAGCTCCGCTGGCCTTTTCCAGGACATCTTCAAAAACAGACACATCAGTTAGGCACACTTTCTACAAGGAAAACCTAAAATGTCATTGAAAAACACATGTAAACTTTGTTTTTAAAAAAAAAAGTCTCCAGTGACTCACCTACGTGGTAGGCTAGTACTACAGCTCGGTTAAACACTTTTTCTTCCGTTCTGAATCATCCATGTTAAAAACAACTAGCTGTGAACAAGCAATACGTTCTTTATATAGTTGTGTTCTCGACTTCAGTTTCCAATATTGTACAAGATCTCTTTTTTTCTTTATTTTGCCTTTTATGGTTTCGTTAAAAGCTTTTATGCCAGGATAGAAAAGCTAAACTGCTTCTTTACATTGAATAATCAGTGTGTCATGACAAATCTATCTCCTTCTGCATGAGTAGGTGCCAATTTGACTGATTTCTTTCAGGCTCGCACTAGGCTTTAAGCTAGGTCTGTGTGCATGACTAGCAGTGCATTCACCAGACCAGATCTGAGGACCAGGGAGTCCTTTCCTCCTCAGAGCCTATAAAAGAGCAGCCAGACTAGCAGTGAGAGGTCTTGGATGCAGTGCAAGGTGCTTGCTGCTTTCTCACTCAACCATTCACTTTGCAGCCTCTCTCACCACGGCTAGCCTCTGAAAGCACTCCCCCCCCCCCTCCTCTCTTCTTTTTTTTTTCCCCCTTCAGTCTTTTTAGTGATTGTTTCTTTATCCCATGATCGCATTCAGTTTTGCACACCGCCGTAATGAGTTTGTGGTATTTCTTTAATGCTGCTTCAAACTTTGAACCTTCCAGTCTGATCTATTGCATCCTTTTGAGAAGTAGAGTCTGATCACTAGAAGCCTATTTGCCTTCAGCCTGGTTAAAACTGGATCACAGTGTATGTCTTTGAGTTAAGTCTATGCATTCAAGCCCTGACGTCCTACAACTAAGGGCAGTGACAATTTAAAACATGTCCCAGCTCAATAGTAAACAGTAATAGTAAAAATGGGCTAGTCATTTTGTCCACGCAGGGAATGTGTAATTAATTTTTTTTTTTTGTTCAATGAGACTAAAACACTTTTTTTTTAATGCGAAGCCAGCTGTCGTTTTGGTTTTTCCATATTACTTAATTCTGTGCCATTTTCAACACAAATCAAAGACGATGTAAAATCATCTTCGATTTATTTTGTTAATGGGAAGGGTTGGGAGCACAGACCTACAGCAGCTTTGATTTGTGTTACACGTCTTGGAAAAGACATCCTCTCCTCTCCATGGCTTTTAGCAATGCATGTGGTACTTGCTGCTCTTCTGTGGACCTCAGTTGTAATGAGATCGCTAATTGGGTTACATGCAATTGAATAATGACAGTGTCATGACTTAAAACATCCTGGTGGCCAGAAGCAAAGTGAATGGTACGTCACACAATGAGAACAAACTCCTGCAATTTGAGGAATCTTCTGGGTCTTGATTTAATTTAAATTAAAGTTAATTACTATATAAAACAAGACCTTGTGCAAATGGATTTTTATACAGAAATACATCAGTGGTCCATTCTGTAGAAGGGCAATCTATGGGCAGATTTTGGTGCATTTATTTAGGTTTCTTCATTTCATTTTGGGCACTGCACTCTGCATTTCTTGTTTTGCCGAACTTAAATACGCAACAGAGCAACAGACAGGTGTGCCTCATCTGTCTAAATCATAAACCAGGCCTGAAAGTTAGAAATGTTTGAAACAGACCAGCCCCAAATGGTTTTAATGTTTCATCTCAAATCCTATTTACTCTAACAACAGCACACCCTGCTCCCTGTTAAAAGCTCAGCCCGACGAAATCTTTGAAGGCCTTCTGATTTTTTTTTATTACGACTTTTCATTGCATATTCTATAGCCAGTGAATAGGGTACATTGCAGTAATCCTTGCCTCTGGATAGGCACAGAATTCGCTTTCTTTTCTAAATGGCTAATAACAGTGTGTTGCTTCCTGTCAAGTGTTGAAAGGCCAGAACAATAATTCCAACCCCCAACTGCACAGTGTAGTTAGGACAGGGCGAACAATTTTTAAAAATGTAGATCCCGGTAAACATGGCTGGGTGTTTTATTTAAGTTAATCGCAGAAATAGGAAAAAAAATATATGTATATGAGGCAAACCCCCAAATTAAAGGTGATATTTGTGAAAAGGCTTTGAAAATATTTTGGGAAAGTATTGTGCAAGTGGCATATCACCATCAATACAGGTTTTTATCCGGTTAGTAGCACACCTTTAGTGGAAACGCTGGGTTGTGTTCGCCTTTTTACAGTCATAGACTTGTAAAGTACATTTGGCAGTTAGTCTAGTTTGGAAACTGGGGATAAAGAAAAAAAAATCTTGCACAAGACAGACATGCCAGGTTCCTTTTAAGTAAACCTTTGTCTTTTTTTGTAAAGGAAGAAAGTCCAGATTCAAAATCCAACAGTGGTACTAACTCTCAACACTGGTATTTAACTCTCTTCTTACATCGTTTTACATGATAGCTGACTTTCCACATCTCATTTGAACCAAAAAAGTCTCCTAAATTTCTGAAGACCATTTAAGGCATTCTTTCGGTGCTTAATTATCCTGGCAGCTACATGGACAGCTTCTCACATCCCGATTCACCTTCACTAATCCATGGCGTCATTTTTGGCTGAAAGTAATGTCAGTCAGTGCCATCTGCGGCAGGTACAAAAAGGACCCCCTAATGACAGCCATTTTTATTTGTTTCTTAAGATCCAAAGGCTGTTGAAAGAACAATTGGATAAAGTTGAGATTTAGCAGAAGCTTGATTTTCTTGTTCCAGTGAAATGAAACTTTGGCCCTTTCTTTCCCTCTTTTTCAAGCCTGCGAGGGGGTTGTAGTCGTGTCAAAGCTGCGAGAATGCCACTGCTGATCAGTTTAATCACGGGGACTAAGGAGGATAAAATTAAAAGTAGCAGCAGTGAAGCAGTGGAAGGAGGCTTGCTGAGATAGCAGTGAACTGTGAAATATAAAGAAAAAATGCATACAGATACATTTTTATGTGGTTGAAAACAAGAATTGACATTATTAGAATAAATAAAGTTGCCTTCTTATTCTGGAGCAATTGGTGCTGTACTGTGCCATACAATAAAATGGATTTTGTTTATTTAAATAAGAGAGACGCTTTTATGTTTATGTATATTATTAGGGGTTTTGAAGTTTTTATTTATGATATCCCCCCCCCCCCCAAAACTCCAAATAAAAAACACATTTTGAATGTTGTAATCCTGTACAAATATCTCCTTTTTTTGCTAATAGATGTCCTGTTAAAATATTAGTAATGATAATAAGCTATCCCCCTGGTGATACAATTAAAAAAAACAGTTTATCTGTAAAAATAAAAGCGAGGGTTATGGATTATGCAACATTATGCACTGTTTTCTCCCTGTTATAATGAACCTAATTGTATGCTTTCTCATTAATAAATGGAATTTGTACTGGGCTTGCTGAAATCAGCACAACTTAACAAAATACACAAATTAGTTCCTAACCCAAAAATTATCAAACCACAACATGGTTAAGAGATCCAAACATCTGAGTCCTGTTGCAAGTTCTATGTGCGTGAATCTTGGCCTTCCAGATTTAGTGAATTGTGAACAAGCCCTGCTTAGGTGCACTTAACTCTTTAGCAGGAGGCGAGAAAACAAACACCAGAAATTTAGCAGCCCCCAGGAGAGCTTTGCTTGGGCTGGGAGCCTGCGAATGCTGTGTTGGAACATTAGCAGAAAAGTAAATTGAGACAATCTGATAGGGAAACAAGAATTGTCACTCAGGCTCAGGATACTGTGTTGTGTCCATAAACTTTGTTTACCGAAGGGTTTTATAAGTTGTAACTGCCCCGCATGGGCTGTAAATGGGCCTAAATCTCACTGCCTTGAGGATTGAATTACAGCACACCTCTGGGCTAATGGTTATAAACAGACTCCCATTAGGATTGCATTCCGATGCATTCATTTGCATTTTGCCATTGTGTTTCCAAACAATGGCAACAAACAAACAATTTACATGGAAATGGGTAAAATGTACCTAATTAGTATTTTGTGCTTGTTTTGTTAATGGCTGCTTAGGTGAATTGCTCTGGTTCTCGACTGCTGAGCACTCTGTACTGTAGCTTGAAATATGGAGATTTGAAAGCCGGGGAAAAGAGAAATATAGCTTCAATTAAATAGGTAACTACTACCTCCAGGCTTCAGTTGGTAACTCTAGCTGGACGTGCGTTGAGAAATCAGAACTGCTTTAAAATGAGCTGGCTTCTCATCAGTAAAGTGCTTGGTAATTGAAATAGTTAATTGTACTTAAAACCTCTCACTGAGCCAACTTTTCCTTTAGAGATACTGACCGCGAAAACAGACCTGAACAGTACGCATGGAAGATTTTATAAAGAGACTGAATGTTGGTCTGTGAGGAGCTCAATGTCTGAACACTAAAATTTATTTTCCAGGCTCCCTTGTTGGCCTACAAATGGCAGATTCGTTTTTACGTCCGTTTTTTCGACACTGGGATCATACTATTTAAGAATTAGTGAGAGTCTAGTAGGCGTTTCCTTGATAAAGTCTTTGCCTAACAAGATCTATCCTAAGCTATTATTAATGTTTTAGGTTTTATTTTAAGGTATTAAGACATTTCTGATAAAATGTTCAGGTATTTTCCTTAAATGTAAAAAAATCATGTTACAAAAAAAAAGTTTACTGATGTAATAACCCTGAGGAAAAAAAAAAAGACATTTTGTATCGGTGACAGTTGGGGACAGTCATGATATATATTTATATATATATTCTAATTTATATATTTCTTTAAAAACTGGCGTGAATGATACAGATTGGTATGAAACATTCTGTTTACCGTGTGGTCTCCAGCCCCCTGCTGTAAACTAGCTGCTATCGTGATGATCAGATTGGGAGTGAAATGGCATTTCTGTCAATTACCGAGATGGCAACTGTTCAATATATATCCCAGCAGCAAGATGAAGAGCGACGGCGGCAGTTGAGGGAGAGAGCTCGTCAGTTAATAGCAGAAGCTCGATCTGGTGTGAAGATGTCAGAACTTCCCATCTACAACGAAATGGCTGCAGAAAAGCTGAGAGGGAGGTCAAAGGCATCTGGAGGTGAGTGGGACAGAGCTGGCAGGCAGTGCCAGAGACAGCACCCTAGCGTCCGTACACGCCAGCACCTTCTCCCTCTTCTCTTGTCCTCCCCGCAAACGAACAAAAGAGTTTCCTGCTAATCCCTTTTTTTAGTAAAAAAAAAGGGGGGATTTTATGGTGGAATGGCTGCAAAAGTTCCCAAAAGAACATTTCCCCCCTTCTTCTTTCGGTGTTTGTTTAACCTCGTTAAGATGAAGCAGCATCTGCCCGATTTACACTGAGAGATCGATGACGGATCACATCTGCTAAAATCAATGGTATAGAAGAAAGATGCTTGTTTTCTTGTTATGACTCAACCTTTTCTTTTTCCATTGTGGTAACTGGAATTATTGTTGTGAGCAGCAGTAACAACAGCAACCTTAACAATAGCTTGTAATGACTAGGTAAAAGGTCTACATTAATGGAAGAGCAGGTGTCTCTTAAGTATGACAGTTCCAACTCTGGTATAGTGCGTTAGCATCTATCAGTATAAATATACTTTGTATGTGTTTTATGAGTAGCTTTGTAAAAAGAGGCTACTTGTTCTTCAACTTAAATGTGGGTATATTATCCACAGGAATCCATAGGTGTTCGAGAGAATTGTCAGGCTGGCCTGCAGCCCTTCTCTCTCTCTCATTCTGTCTGTTTCTCCTTCCCTCCAGGGTTATTGCATGTTGCACTGAGCTACTATGACAACGAGCCAGGTTTCCTACTTTAGCGGGAATAAATACCGAGGAAAACAGTTCAGAGGAAAACGAGGCTTTCAAAATGGTTTATTTAGACTTTCTGGTTTTGAAATCTGCTAATTGTAGAACTCATTAAAAATCGAGTTTGGGGAAAGTGCTATAGGCTTGATGCACAAGACTTACTGTGCAGAACGCATAATCCTAGCTATTTCGCGTTCCACTCGGAAACCTTAATTCACAAAGGTTGCAGTAGGGCAGGCTCTGAAACAGCCTGGATGCCTGCAAACTTTGTGAATTCTACCACCATGCACTCATTTAATTAGTGTTACCTAGTAGAACTATACAGCCATCTATATAACCAGAAAAAAAATTAAAACTAAATGGCCTTTTTCTAGCTTAGCCTGAAAAGGAGTGGCCCCTGCTGAACTGAATTCTTGATTTTTAAATACCTACGTCCTCCTCAGTGTTTCTGGAAATCAGTTTTTCTCCCTTCTTTCAGCTGTTTTTTCTGACTGTGTCTCTAATTCTTTTGTAAGTTTTTTAAGCTATAAAATCTTGCTCAAGTAAAGTAGTTTGTCTGCCCAAAAAGTGAAAGACTCAGACTTAATTTTCCGATTTACAGATTTCATGCAAATTTCAGATTGAACATTTTATGTAAAATATAAAAACTTGTTTTTTTAATATTTTAATTTATATATAAAATAAGGTGTATGTTTTAATAAAAGTAATGTTAATAAAAATGACATAATTTGATGTAAAAGTATGTATTTAATGAATCTCTTGTTTTCTAGGGCCTGTAATGTAAAGTTAATGGCCACCATCATGATGTTACACACATCAGGTGCCACTGATACCACAAAGCAAACAAATACTGCTCTGTATTCTGATCTTAGTGCTCTGACAGTGCACTTTATCTCTTTTTGCTTTTCTGTTACTGATGTTTAATATCTATGCATGTTTGTTTGGTGTGACAGCTAATCCTATACTAACTCCAGTGATTAATTTCTGGTAGTTTTGGGGTGCATTCACGTCTTTGTTCCTACAGATTTGGGGGAGCAGGCTGTTTCTGAGGAGCAGGAGGTGGAGGATAATGTAGATACTAACGATGAGGAACCCCCTGTGTGCTCCTCTGTAGGAGCAGGAGATGAATTTACTAATCTTAAAAGTGACCTTGTGTCTTTTGGTAAATAAAGATCATTTTAGACTAGGACTAATTTTGCTTTGTCCTGCATGTTTTGCTTTGGTGTGCATATCCATTTTCAGTGGTTTGGCTTCTCTTGTGCATTTTATTGCTTTACTTTGGATGCCATACTGCCTTCTTACGGTTTACATTGCCAGAAAAAAGCTCAATAATGAATTTGTAGTATTCTTCCATTGCTTCATCAGAAATGTAGGTTCTTTTCACCCAGTTATATTTTAGTGAAAAGTAGGAATAAAATGATTATTGGCCCAAAGTCTTGAATTTAATTACTTGTGGTATTAAAGATTGTTCTGAATGTACATTTTTTATTCTTTCCTAGCATTTACATACTAGAATGTGATTAAATTTTATATAATGTTGATAATATACAAATAATATAGGTGTTCCTTGCTTTTGTTGGAATAATTAACATTGCAAATTCTTGTATGGGCTAATGCACATATATTGTTGTGATTTAAACAGTTGTGTGGCAGAACAAGGTGCTTCTGAGATAAATACTCTGTAACCAGTTAAGTTTTAATTGGAAAATTTAAATTTAAATTCCACGTAGACCCCATTCGCACTTACAAAAAAATAGATCTTGAAATATCCAGAGAAAGAGCTAATTGGTTCTTGCTGAAGCACATTACTGATGCAAGATAAACCTGAGCAGTCAAAAGAAATAGGCGCTTAAAATGGTTTCTCCCTCCCTGCCTCCTTTGAAGTGGTGTTTTGTATTATTTATGTTTTATATGTAGATTGCAGTATAGTTTCCCTGTTTGTCTCTTTTTCCTCTTCTACTATCTGTTCTAACACCTGTTAGGGAAGCAGATAATCTGCTAACACTAACAACTTCTTGATAGGCCATTATGGAGTCTGTCCTAGGCAAGATGTTGACAGTTCTAGCCCAACACTTAAAATGGACCAGTAGAAATGCACCATCTTAACTGCTTGGCTTTAGCTTATTAGTTCTCAACCTTTTACACTGCAGTGCCATAACTTATTAGCGCTCACTATCTGAAATTACTGCTACGCATTAACCTCTGTAAATTCCCATTCAGTGTTTCTCATCGCACCCTCTGGAACCATGGTACATTAACACCTACAGTATTTTGTGTGTGTTTTTATTTAATTATTAGGATACTTTCAGAAACTGAAGCTTTATCAAAACTTGTGGAGCTCTTGGCTTGTCTCTGTTGTGCCCTGATAATCTTTCCCCTGGGCACATGAAACGGCTTTGGCTCTCTTTCATCTCTTCGGTCCCCGTCATCGAGAGCGGCTGGTGGATTGGGCAAGGCGAGTGCCGTGATCACAAGCTGGAAACCCAGCATCGCACGCTGGATGGAGAGTGTTTCAGGTGCCCAGATAAGATTACCAGGTGTGAAACAGAAAGGCCTGGGCTGAGGAATGTTGGCTACATCTAAACTCCCACACTCACAGAGCTTTTCAACACTGGACTAGGCCAGAAATAACACATCAGACCTTCATTTAACAGGTTTTAACTTCAGGCACAAATGTGGCACAGAAATACTATTTGGTACTAGATGTCAGTGGTTTTGGTTCTTTTGAAGCTGTTTTTTGGAGGGTTACTACACAGCTCCACACCCACAACTGGTTGGTTAATTAAGGCTCATTTCTTGTTTCATTAACTATGTTTAATGCAAAGTTATACTGCCTCAAACATGTTTTTAGTTACTTGAGTCTCAGTAATTATATTTTACAGATATTAAGATTTGAAGGTTTTCAATTTCTTGTATATATTTAATTGAATCAGCTTTAGACTCGGACAGTAAAAAATACTGTTGCTTAGAAAGTTTGTGTAAGGAGCCTTTTCTCATTGTGTGTTCCACTGCGCTCTGGACCTGCCTGCTCATAGTTTGTGTTGTTCGTTGCTCGTTTGTCGCCTCTCTCCTCTGTGTCGCGCTTTTACGAGTCGCGTTTGCATCTGGTTCGCTTCTCCTGCTGTGTCATTTCTCTGGAGGGTCGCAGGGCCAGATCGTGACGTTTCGCCCAAGTCAGCGTCGTTTTCCCTCCTTCCTCCTGCCCTCCAGGTGGACAGAACAGTAGGCACGTGGACCTGAAGCTCCGAGAGTTTCTGGAAACTCGTCCGCAGGCGGTGAACTCATTCTCCTCGGCGCCGGCGGCAGCACCGAAGGTCCCTACTGACGGCACGAAAGAGGAAGGACTCAAGGTAATCTAGGCGGGACTTCCTGTATCGCTCCATCAAACCTCCTCCTTTCCCCGTCAGCTGTCTCCTTTGATTGGAAAAGTCTCCTGTGTCTCATCCGCTCTCATTTTTTTTTTAGCTGTCTTTGTTCCTGTCTTTCTGTACTGGTGGACACTACAATAATACATTTACATTAGTAGTTTGAAAACAGCTATTCTGTCTAGCTCCCAACAATGCTTGACATTTTGTGGACTCAGATTGTGATGCTTCTGTGTTTTTAAGTTTATCAGTAAGTTTCCTTAAAAAAGAAAAAAGCTCACATGCTATCTCAAAGTGGGCTATGATGTTAATTCTAACATGGCAGTTAAGATCCTTTCTTATTAAAAAGGGCTCTTCTTCATCAACATAGAATCCAGGCTTATAAAATACCCAGAAACCGTTTGTGAGCTGTAGGAAATTTTAGCTTGGACAACAACCAAACAGAAGAATACTTGAATCAGATTAATTAAAAGTGGTCATTTTGGTATTTTCATTCGAATTGCCTTATGTATTGAACTGTTGGTGTCCAGTTAATAGTCCATGTAGACGCGGATCCTTATTCGTCAATAGTACCTCTGTGGCCATAGAGCACATTCGCCTGTTCAAGTTTACCCCACCTGCAAACTCTTTGGGGACCTCGATGCTGACGGAAAGGATTTCCTTCCCCAAGATACAGAGGGCTTTGATCTCCTAAAACAATGACTTTCATTGCTTTCCCTTACACTGTCAGTTCCTATATGTTGGTGATGAAAGTGATCTACCTAATAAGGACTTTCAGTCTTCTCTTTTAAACAAAGAGGAGCCAGATCAAGTCTGATTTTACATTCAATTTAGCTTTCTACAGTGGATTTAATGTGAGCTGAAGCCAGCTTGAGAAAAACACAATGGGCTGTAAAAGCAAACTGAATTACCCGGCCTTAGAGGAATGCATTTGTAAAGTGTCTGGAGTTCCTGGTCATAAAGCAGTTTCTTGAAATGGGATTTGTCGGGCTAAACCAGGTGATATTTTCACGTGTTACCAGGCTTAAAAAATCAGCCGTGTTTGTTTTCTTTGCTAAGTGCCACGGCTTGAACTGTCAGACCTCAGCAGTGCCGGCAGTAGTCAAACCTGGTCTATGAGAAAAGCACATCTATAGTCTTTTCAATTAGCACCCCGCGTCTAAGTGAAAAATGGGAGCAAAACTATCCATAAACTGTTCCATCTGTTTCTCGATAACTGTTGAGTCCATCTCAGGGTTTTTTTGTGTGTGTGTGTGTGCGCGCATTTTATTTCCGTAAACCGCACTTTAGGCGTTTTGTAAATGAGGCCTTCAGCATTTGCAAAGGAGGATAAACTGTTTCGCTCCCTGGAGGATTGCGTATCCCAGGCCTCCTTGAGGCTAGAGAATAGGCCATCAGAGATCCTGCTCATTAATGATTGTCTCAATGCAAAGCAAGGGTGCAGTCTTGGTAGTGTTTGATAACCGGTTTCAACATTCAGCAGGCTGTGTTATTAGTCATGCATCTCGGCCTTTGCCTATTTACTTTCAAAACACTTCATGAAAATAATAATAGATAAAGAACAAAATGCAATATTTGCCTTATGTTCTGTGCCCCTCGTATCTGCTGTTTCCATGCTTTGCAGGGGCAAAGGGGAGGGAAGTGGGTCTGTCCTTGGGGAAGTTTAATTCTGCCAGCCTGTACAAAATTGGTTTATTTTCTTTTAACTACACCATGAGTGGAATAAAGACTTTGTCATTACCTCAGGGTCTCTGAGAACTTCAGAAACTTATTTTTCCTTTACCCTCCCATAATGATTTTTTTTTTGTGATTTTGTTTTGATAACGCAGATGGTAGAGAAATTTGTTTCAGTATCATCATGCAAGGAGCAAGTGTTGGACAATTGCTGTTTTAGCCTGTGTTCCAAGTTCTTATTTGCTTATTATATTGTTTTAGTTAAATGGATCTGTTCTGTAGTGGTTTATAATAAAGTTTATGCCATTTTGCATTGAACTAAGCATTATTTAAAACAAGGAAAATCTGAGTGCAGTCATAAGTTCTAAAGAGGGCTTATTTTAAAAGCCAGTTTGCTCTGGTTTACATTTTGAATATTTATAACCAGGAATCACTGTTCTGGTGCTGTCAGTGGAGAAGCGCTTTCATTTTCAATCAGCGCTTTATAGAAATTGCAAAATTATCATCTACAGAAACCACATTGCTCGCCCTTTTCAAGAAGTGGAACGTGTACACTAATTGTAAACTTTATAACACCTTTTTTTTCTTAATGTTGAAATATTCCAAGCAGCTGTTTCCACTTGGTTTATTACATGCACGTAATACATTTCAATAAAACTTGATAGAAGACATGGTGCGCAATTTTACATGTGTCTACTTCGAAAACAATGGCATTGTTCATTTGCATAATCAGAATAAATTTTATGGCTGGGGTTTTTTTGAAAGTCAAACTTAATTGCATGTTTCCTAACCAGGAAAGCCACAAATCTGTTCTGTGGTTACACTTCAAATTAAGTATCACGTCTAATTTATTGCAAACCTCTGTTAGTGCCAGTACAGACACCCTGACTGTTGTTTATTTTTTTACAGAATAATGTGGAAGACATGCGAACAGAGAGATTGCGAAAAGCTACCGAGCGTCTGCGCAGTCCTGTGGTTTTCAATAAGGAGTCTACTGTTAGGAAAACACAGCTGAAGTCTTTTAGTCAGTATGTGGAAAACCGGCCAGGTAAAATTCCTTTTTCTTAATTATAATCTCCATAGGAAAGCAAGACAGCAGAGGTGTAAAAACATTTATTTATGATAAAAATGTTCTCCTTCTGAATGTCTGATTTAGAACAGAAGCAAATCCAGTACAAATTTTCCATTTTTTGCTCTACATTTAGCGAGGTAGCCTTGCATCTTCACAGTGAAGAGCAGCACATTGAATTTGGTCCAGTTTGCTTCTTCAGTTAGTCCAACTTTGTTATGGCTTTTAAAAACGAGGAAGTACAACTTGTACTGACTGTTGAATCATTGTAGTGTGTCTTTTTAATTGTACATCGTGTTATGCAAGATGTGTGCTTTCTGCTACCAGTCTTTCCCCTGCAGAGCTCTTCACTTCTGAATTAGAAAAAAAATGCCCAATATGCTTCTCCTTTTTGTCATCCTAAAACTGCTGTACATCATACAAAAAAGCTTAACTGTCCTTGCGAGAATCTGCCCCCTTCACAGCAGCTATGTCTAAGGCTTGATTGCATGATAAGGTATTTTGTGTCCATTTCAATCTGACCTGCAAGAAAAATAAGAAAGTAGCATTGTGTAACTATATAAGTCACAGGCTTGGGCAGCTTTCTTCTCGAGTGAGGAGTCTCTGAGCCAGTCAATAGTAAGCTGTTGCTGTGGCTCTAAACTTTCTTCAGCTGGTAACCCAGCAGGCTGCAAGAGGGCAAACACATTTTCTGTCTCAATGAACAGTAAATTAGTCCTTCAGATCTCCTTGTAGAGGGCAGCTGGCCATCTGTAAGCACCCACAACAGCCCTGCAGTGACCTGTATGACCCTGACTCATTTTTGTCATTAATTTGCTGCATGCACTAAATTCAGACAACTTTATTCTTCATGGCATGTTGCCATGTTTTCTAGACACGTCCTTAATGTGACTGTTCTAGTGATGGACACACTTTTGTGGGATGTGTATTGCTAATCAGCTGCACGTTTTGCTGTAATTGCTTAAAGTTATGCGTCTGACAGCAGAACATTACAAAGACCCAGAAGGGCAGATGCAGCACAGTTGCTTGCGAACTTGAAAAGCAGTGGTGCTTCTGTACGGTCCATTATACATACTGCTGCCTTGTCTGACTGTAACTGTACGTGTGCCGTTGAAGAATTGTTCCCAATAGGATTGGTTTAAACTTCCTACAAAATCGGGCTCCAGCTCAGTCCCCTGCAGTTACATCACTGGAAAGCAATTAATTTCACTTCAGATGCAATTACATTGGCCCCACCCTCCACACCTCAACGGTGCTAGTACGTCAGAGATATGTCATATTTTCTTCACACCAGTGTCCCATTCATTATCAGGATGGATGGGGCCGTGACCAGAACCAGATTTCTGTGCATTGGTACCCTGTGCTGTGACAGCGCGTGTAACTTCAATGCCTTGGTATTCGGATTTCACTTGTAGGAGCTTGTTTTTGTGTTGAGTTCAGAAGTTTTTTTTTTTTAAAAGCGTATGATCCAGAAGGCTTTTGAAATGGGTGCTTAGAGAAATTTTAATTCCTGTTACTTAAAACAAAAGATATTCCTTTTATTGGTTAAAGCAATTTATATGTTAATTAAAAAAAATCAGTTTGTCTCTCAAGATGTGTTCTCTGCATTGGCTTTTATGTTTTGCCAGTTCTCTTCCTGTCTGTAAACTTCACAGTTAAAAAATCTCAATTCAGACTAGAATGTTTCTTGTTTATTCATAGACTTTCCAGGTAACATCTAGTTTCAGGGATAAGCAGGGGAAGTAAAAGTGATTAACAGAATTGCCTCTGAGTGTGTATTGCATTTTACTTTCCTGCCAGAGTGAATTAACACACTGTAAATACAGTTAGTTGTAATCACAAGTCCTTGTGTATTTGCATAAGGCAAGTTATTTTTAATGCCATCTCGTTTACAAAGAAAACTCCTTTAAGTCTATTTTTTTTCCTTTTTGAACCCACAAGGTGTGAATTCATAATGAAGCCATTTAAAATATCTTTTTATATCCTTCCTTTTTCAGAGGTAAAAAAGCAGAGATCAGTACAAGAAGATTCAAAGCAGGAAAATGAAGAGAGGGTGCCAATAACTGAAACAGAGCACAAGCCATCTGAAGATGAAGTACTTAATGCATATTTAATATTTTTTTAAAGATTGTCGATAATTCCCAAGCATATTTGGACATAGAGGTTTAAAAAAATGAGACATGGAGGTTTTTATGATGTCAATCTCCAATGTATTTAAAAGCCTAAGAGGGGTG